CCTAAAAAGACTTGGAATTTTGCATTTTGGTGGGTTGGAGTCTAAAGCAAAGTAGTAATTAAATTTGGTGAGAACTTAATTTAAAAAAATAAAATTAAAAAATCTAACATTCTTGGGAAGAAATTTTAAACTTATAGCTCGAAAATTAACTGAAAAAACAACGTTGTTTTTTCAGTGGATAATACGAGAATTTAATCGATAGTTAGGTTTCAAGCATCATCTAAAATAGTTATTTTTGAACGGATAATACGCGAATCTAATCGATAGTAAGATTTCGAGCATCATCTACAATAGCTGCAATACTAATACTGGGGAGATATAATATACTCTCCACACTTACAAAGTTGATGTCACTATGTATAACTACACCAACTATCTTTACTTAAATGTGGTTATTGTTGGTTGATGGTATGTAATGCAAGTGTAAGCGTTCGGGTCCGGTTTGGAGTAGATCGGTTCTTGTCCTCGCCGATAGAATGTCGGAAACCTGCAAATAACTCTCACACCGGGGGTTGGGTCCGGTGAAGAGCCTCCGATGCTTAAGTCAGTATGAATATGAGTATACTGGAATTGAGTAATGAATAGAATGTGTTAAGGGAGAAAGACTCACCCCCTTTATATAAGGGTGAGATACCTGCCCTAAGAGCTGCCCAGATGAGGTGAGCTGGCTGCCCCAGCTGCCCGTTCGTACTCTGACACGTCGCGCACATGTCAGGGGTGGCGCAGGACGTTGGGGGTTGTCAGAGATAGTTATCACCATCACCCAATACCTTGTCGACACGTGTTCCCCCAACACATGGGGTAAATATTCTCTAGAGATTTCAGTTAGAGGCTCTTACGCGCGCCTACGGTACACGCGCCCACAACTAGGTCGACTGTGGGTTCCTCGAAGCGATCGACCTGCCGAGGTCGAGTAGTTTGCTCGATCATGCGTCTGGTCGATGCGTCTGGTCGATTATCTGAATATTCGGTCTTCCCGCCCTTTTGGTTTGGCTTCCCCTTGATTTAGCCTTCTCGACCGGCCCAGTAGGCCGATTTATTCTTGAGTATATAATATCCCATATCAGTATGTGAGATTGGTGCTCATATTTTTGGTTGTATATGCTTTTGTTGGAATATTTTATTTTATTTAATTGGAAGAAATAAATTATTATTATTTTATAGATAAACTATATTAATAATATTAAGGTGAGATAGAAATGGGAAATAACACAAAATATGCTTCTTAAGTTACTTAAGTAAAACAAAAATGAAAAAAAAACAATTAAGTTGCTATGGATACATAACTTTTTTTGTTTTCACTTTTGTTTTGTTCAATTAAGATATATCTAATAGAAACAACAATAAGACAATTTTTTTTTAAACCAAAAATATTATTTATTTCATCTCACATTTTTTTACAATCCCATGGACATAATTAAAAGCAATAAAGCTTAATCATATTACTTATTTTTAAAAACAAAAAAAAATACTGAATTAACTTACATATTTTAACTACCAATCCTATCAATAATTATCTTATTTCTTTTTATACTAAATCGACTTTAATCATTACATTTTTCTTTCATATCAATTCACAATCTCAAATTTATCTCATGTTTTCTAAAATAAAATTTTTCCACTTTTTTAATCACACTCAGAGCATGAGACACCTCTTTCTAAAAAATCTTATATCCATAATCTCACTAATGACAAGTTTTGATATAAATATACATATTATGAAGCTTTTTTGACTGACATTTATGGCAACCCATTTGACACACATACACACAAAGACCTATTATTATCTTCCCATAATAATTCAACAAATTAAAAGTAGTGGATGATAATTTTTGGCATATAAAGTTAGTGGACAAATTAAGTAATTTTAGCGGTTTGGCTAAATTAAATAATAAGTATGTTAAATGCTATGGTCTTGTTACGGAATTATTATGTCGGGATTTGATAATCGTTAGATCAACTATTCCCGATGGTACACGATGATCTAAACGTTACAAATTCCAACAGAATGATTCCATAACGAAACTGTAGCATAAGAACACATAGGACTCACAATATAAATGGAAAAAAAGACATACAATAAAAAGGAGTGGCAAAAAGGACTGTGGTCCCACGTGGCAGTCCCCAGTTTCTTTTTAATTTATTGCTTAAAAAAAGAACATAAAACAAACCGCTGAGTTTTCGACTTCTCATTGGCTACTCATCGTACGTCAACAAAATATTATTCACAGTCTTTTTCTTTGCATTGTACGGACGCCCTCCATTTCTACTCTCTCTCTCTCCTCACAATTGAACCCTTCTTTTGATCTTTCGGTTTCCAGATCCACAGAGAAACCGACTAATTCGGAATCGAGCCGGGTAGGACCACAAAGGCGACAAAGTTCTCCCTCAAGAGTTTTTAACACTGTTGCATTCTCAGGGCTCGAACACGAGACCACTGGTTAAGCTGGAAGAGACCCAAATCATCTCATCCAAGCGCTGTTGGGTACAATTGAACCTTCTTAAATTGCCCAATATGTATATTGAAATTTACTTGTGAAAATATATATTTTCACCGAAAAAATGTGATATATAAAAGAAGGTATGATCCATTTTTTGAGTGAAAAAATATGCTCGCTTTAAAAGTTATTTTATGTAAATAAAAATTCGACATTGGAGTCTCTGAATATTTTACCTTTGGGTCAATATGCACGCATATATATTCATACGAGTGTGTGACGGTAAAAAAAAAAAAAAAATTCGGTGATCATAGCGCAGTAATTAATAGACAATAAGTTGAAATGCTTTCTATTTATGTATGTATTGATATGGAGGACATATGTGAAAGATAGTATGCAACTCAATTTGTGTTTGTTATGGAGTTTGATTTTTATAATTAAATGACACTTTCATAGAAGAGATTTGTACACATTGATTGATGTGTGTACTTATGGTGGTTCAAATTAATAGACAATTGATTTTCACAATAAATATATTAGGATGCATAATACTCACTACAAAAAATGATGAAATTCCAACGAAAATATATTTCAAAGAATTATTCCAACGGCAATTCCATATTTCAATACTATTATTTCTGTTGGAATTTTTCAATGGATTCCAACGGAAATTTCAACGAAAATATTATGTTGGAATGAGTTTTCCATTGGAATTTCCGTTGGATTTTGACGATTCCAATGGTGGATTTTCCAACGGGGGTGGAAAAAAAATTTCAACGGAATTTGCATATTCCAACGGAAATTCCTACGGTAAAAAGCCGTTGGAATTATAGCCGTTGGAATCATCAAATTCCATCTAAAATTCCAATGAAAAACACATTCCAATGGAATATTTCCGTTGGAATTTCTGTTGGAACTATTCCAACGGAAGCTATTCCATTTGAATATCCGTTGGAATTTCCATTGGAATATATTACCATAGGATTTTCCGTTGGAATATAACATTTATTTTGTAGTGACTTTAGTCTGTTGATCAGATTGATCCGTCATATTTTTTATTTATACTCATTTTAAATATAAAATATAAATATTTAAAGTCGTGTATTATAAAGATATGACGGATGGAACCGACTAACAATTACACCAAATCATACCAAAATTTGTGATTTATGCACTATATGTTAGAGTGAAAAAAATAAAAAGAGATGTGAATTGATATGCACATGTTGGCATGCATTACCCCCTTCTCTCTATTATTGGGGTTTGAAGAGAAGAAAAAAAAAAAGTAGGCAAGTGAAGTACATGACTAAAGTAATCAAGGTCTTATGTAATTTTTTTTTAACATTGCTATATATGTTATACTATGAATCTTGAGCAAAAATTGAAGATTGATAAAGTAGTAGTTATCATAATATTCTTATTATGATATATAGATAATCTAATCAATCAAGATAAACATGGAATAATGAGTGGGTGTTTACTGTTTAGTTTATTTATCCCATTATAAAGACAAGGAAAGTTTCATTATATCAATAATTAATCACTCTCCAACCTATTCATCATATTTTGTCCCCATATCTCTCTCAAACACACACACACACACACACACACACACACCACATTTGTTTCTTCCCTTTTATAGGCATATTTCATCTCCCACCTCCAACCAAAAAGCCTCTCTGGGCATTTTCCAAATTTGCTAGCAAATTTCTCTCTCTCTCTCTCTCTCTCTCTCTCTCTCTCTCTCTCTCTCTCTCTCTCTCTCTCTCTCTCTCTCTCTCTCTCTCTCTCTCTCTCTCTCTCTCTCTCTCTCTCCACACACACACACAAACACACACATTAATTTAACTTGCTTTAGTTTCATTCCATCACCACTTATTTGGCAAAAAAAATTCATCTTTCTTCTCAGGTACAAGAAAAAGTTCAAATCTTTGCTTTTTTTTTTTCACATAATCATAAATCCCACAAATTATATTTTTTCTGCTTCCAAATTTTTTCAGTTGCATCATATCTCATCTTATTTGGCAAAAAAAGATCATCTTTCTTGCTCATGTACAAAAAAAAGTTCAAATCTTTGTTGCTTTTTCTAACATATTCCTAAAAACCCACAAATTATATTTGATCTGCTTGCAGATTTTCAGCATCATCTTCACTTATTTGGGCAAAAAATTTCATCTTTCTACCTCAGGATCAAGAAAAGTTCAAATCTTTGCTGATTTTCCTTCATATATTCATAAACCCACAAATTATTTTTTATCTGATTGCCAAATTTTCAGTACTATCTCATGTTAAAAGCCTATATATATATATATATATACATAAACAAACATCT